TAAGATAAATGTATATTGCTAGTGACAAGTGTTATGATAAATAAGAATGATAAGAATAGAATATTATGTGACCGTGCGGTCGAGATAGTTGAATGTTAGTTACGAATTGAGAATTGTGAATTGAATGTGTATGAATGAGTTAAGAATTAAGAATGAATGCTACCCTGTGTTCCAAGGTGGGGGTGGCTCTGGCTCCCACCCTTACGGGTGGGGAGGGGTGAAACAGGTCCCCGCCAGAGGCTCTAACATAACCCCCCGCCTTGAAACAATTACATTGTTTTAAGACCAGAAATAAACTATATGGAATATTAGAATGATAAATACAAATGAAATTACATGAATGGGATGGATATTGTTACAGAAAGCAATGAACATGAAGAAACGCATTAAACTTAAAAAAAAAGATATCTAAGACAAATTACATGTGTACAATATCAGTGAATACACAATATTTACAATAGACCTAAAAGTAAATTTACAACAATTATAACGTACCGAATCAATGAATAATACGAGGAGTGAATAATATGGCGAATGGATATAACAATATAAATATGAATTAATGTACATAATACAATAAACCAACAAGGAGATGCTAATAACAAATTGACAAGATGTATGCAATATGGTTAAATAGAATGATAATGCATGCGATTGCGAAATTATCTTTTGCACTTCACCGACACTACACACCCCACCACTTCCTTTCCAAAATGATGTTGGAGGGCCGCGTCCTAACCTCCACTGTAGACGCGGAAATTTCTCCTCCTTCACGAGGACCCATCTTGCCATTCCTGGAACGTTGGAAGATGGCCTTTGCCACCCTAACCTGCCTTTCAGTGTGGTCAAATATTCGAGATACCACGACTTCCAGAAGTGTTGATGGTAAGCGTGGATGAGGTGCCAAGGGATGGCCTGTTGATGGGAACGACGGCGTGGTCTTTTCCTGAGGGACCAGTTGATGGCTGGCCGAAAGAGGCACTGGCCAGGTATAAATGCGACCAAATTATTGCGGTCGCTGGACAGAGGCTTCGAAAGGCGCGAATTCAGGACGGCTTTAACCCTGACAGTGAGCGCATACACGCCCTCGCCCTCAAGATGGTTTTTATCAGTAATTTCGTTATACTTCCGGCTATTCATATTTAAACTTTTTGAACTAAGATTTAAACGGTCAGCAACCACGCAGAGTTTAGTGGCAGAAATGTAAAGATTTAAAACATAATTGTGTTGCAGGTAAATGGAATTATTTAACGAATTTTCGTTAAGTACCTTCAGGTGCACAAGGTCTAGGTACTTCCTTTGAGAGACAATAAAACCCTCGTTATGTTTATGATCACGTCCCTCTGCTAACAATAATAGTTGGAGAGCGAGTTCTGGGGAATTTCCTAATTTAGGTAGATTTTCGAAATAAGGGACTGTGGAATGGCCCAACCTTTTCTCGACTGATAATAGCCAGTTTGGGTGCATTTCTGCAAAATTCTCTAATTGCGGCTGATTTTTCGAAAAGGGGTGTTTGACCATGAAATAGCCATCGGGTGAATGGCCTGTGGTAGTATACTGAAAAGGGGTTGCACAAAGATCGCTTTTAAACCCTTTGCTTAATGACCTGCTTCCGGTTTTGACGGTTTCAACTTCCAAAAACCGAGAAATAATTTGGGCTGAACTAATTTTGTGATGATGGGAAGTATTGTTTTTTAAATACGCAAAATTGCCGCTAAGAATCAACCTCAGCGCGGTATTTTGAAGCACCGGTGGGTTTTTACTGAAATGACTTATTATTTTGGGTATGGCATTTTCGGAATGTTTTTTCTTGTCGAGTATTACTACGTTTGACGTATTGTCTTTAATATTCGAGTCTACGGATTTACATAAACATTGCGATCTACATTTAAATTGATTACAAACTAACAATAAGTCACAGTTTTTCGAATTAACTGTAAGACTTTTTACTTTGTCTAGTGCGGTAGATGACTCTGCATTAGAAGTTTTATCTAAATTAATTTGAGATACGCCTTCGGACTTGTAACAATCATTAACAGGATGATTTTTATCTTCATTCGGTGTTGAATTTGGAAATTTTGAACGATTTGATATTATACTAGGAGTTTTTGAAATAACGGAATCAAGAGGGGATTTTTTACCAATAGTGAAACTCAATTTACGTAGAGCATTGAAATGGGTTTTGTGAATTTTGATGGGTTCTCCATTTCTTAATTTGTGTACCTTTAAAGGCTTTAAATTTTGACAAGTTTTTTCCAGATCCGTGGTTGGTACGTTAGTGTTTATCTTACATGAATTCGAGAAAGTACACAATGGATTAGTTTTTTCAATGAGAACATTATATAATTCGGATATTTTTTGAATATAATTTAGCACGTCTCGGATATTATAAATTATAGGCTTGATCGTTTCCGTGTTACTCGTGTCATTCGGGACTACCATTGTTTCGGATTTTTGCTGAACTACCAGCATTTGTAATTCTGAATAAATTCGCTGTACGTCTTCATATCGACGCTTTAAGTGGCCTCTTTTTTGATGATTTGCAACATTTGATATAAAATTAGAATGTGAATCTATTTCGCTGAGAAGAATTGAAAATTTAACAAAAGTATTGTCTTGGATTACCACCATCTTGAGTACGAGAATAATGTATTACACCAACCAAACAGAATTAAAGCTTACCTGGAATCCTGGATTCCTGGATAGAATTATCTTGGCTGACGCTGAATGATACTTGAGGATTTTGCACAGCACTCGCGGTCGTCACCGATAGTTGAACACTGCGCGGATGATTTCTGGGTGATGTTTTGATAACTACTTTGCTGAATTCCAGCCGATGAATGATATGTTGAGAATTACACTTATCACTACCACTGTTATTCTGTCGCTAACCCGGCTCGAAGGACCATGTCGAAGTTTGTATAAATGAATAAGACCAGCGAACAGTAAGATAAATGTATATTGCTAGTGACAAGTGTTATGATAAATAAGAATGATAAGAATAGAATATTATGTGACCGTGCGGTCGAGATAGTTGAATGTTAGTTACGAATTGAGAATTGTGAATTGAATGTGTATGAATGAGTTAAGAATTAAGAATGAATGCTACCCTGTGTTCCAAGGTGGGGGTGGCTCTGGCTCCCACCCTTACGGGTGGGGAGGGGTGAAACAGGTCCCCGCCAGAGGCTCTAACATCTGACTTAATCGCTAATTGGTACAATTTAAACCCCGCCATCCGTCTTAATTTCCACAAACATTTCGCCAAATTAACCCCCTTATATTCAGGCAGCGAAGGGTGAATTTTGTGAATAGTTGAGTTCTTGTTATAATCACGAACGTCTCTGGAGATGGGCGCGTCTCCACCATTCATACACGTACACAATCATTAGCGGAATGCAGCCGCCTCCACGGCGAATAAAGATTTATTTTGCTCAATTATCGAGAGGAAATGAAATGAGAAACCCTTTGAGACACGCATCCATTGTGTTCTTGGAATATTAATACCGTAACTCCGCGACCTATTAGTGCTAAATCATTCGGATGTGGTTGACGAGAAAATGCCATAACGGAGACATACGAACTTGTAAAGCTATTGCCGAGACGAAGTCACTCTTTGTTGCATCAATATCGAGTAATCGCGAGGGGTTTTTACCCCGGGCTTTCGGAGCGATTATGCAAGTGCAAACTACCGCACTGCGCTAATTCTGGTTAACCTGAGCTTTATTTGCATGGGTGCCGCAAGGATAATGCCACACTCTAGACCGTCTAGATCGTCCTTTTTAATTCGGTGCGGGCAAAGTTTACGCTAGATCGCGTTTTACCATAAATTGCGTTTATCGAATTTGCAACAAACTACCAGAAAAGCAATTAAACTTTATTAATTGCAATACACCAGTCGTTACTGTGGCTGAGTCGGCGATATCGCAACGGTTCTTTCTTCTTTTCGCTTTTAATTAAAAATTCGACTAATTAGAAGCCGGATTAAATTAATTTCGTAATTAGTTAATGCAACGACGGGACGGATTTTTAATTAGGATGACAGGACGAAGGGCCTCGCGGAGTTGGGCAGGGGTGCATTCGAGATTCACGGTTGATTACTCAACCGATTTTCGGAGTTTCTAATTGGACACTTTCGCTGAAACAAAAGCACGATAAAAATTGCGTTACGACGTGTAGAATAAATCGAACGGGGCGTTCGCTAGTTTCGAACTGTTGGAAACAATCCAGTGGGGTTTATTTTGAGGCGACCAGTTTCTTAGTAAAAATTATCGCAAAACAAGAACGATAAGAACATTAAGAGCGAACAAAGTTCGTCCGTTCACGCAACGATAACCGCACATTGTTGGCTGGTAAAGTTTTCTTTCAACATTTGAATCCGTAGGAACTTGGTCCGACACACATATCACAAGAGTCCAACTTGTACGAGTCGTACAAAAGTCACACACAGCATTGGAGCGTTTGTAAAGTTCTCGAGCTCGAAAAGCATGATTTACGCCACATTTATATTTCTTCAATAATCGACGTAGACAGATGAGATTTCCACAGCATTCTTGACCTGATTATTCGCGTCCAAATCGTTAAATTCGAGCAATTTATTTCGTTCCACTTACCTAAATTTTCAGGGGAAGAAGAGTGCCGTCCGTCTGTCGCAGAAATTTAATATTTTTCTAGCGATATTGTTGTGAATGATAATAAACGTACATAAACTCGTCTGTTATTCTTCCATTTGTTCTCGACGTCGCGTTTCGAAACGGGGGTCAATTTGCGTTAAAATTTTCCCTCGACGACTATAGGTACGCGTACGGCGAATTTATAGTCGACATCTGTTGCTTTTACGATAAACCTAAACATAAATCGACGCAATTTTCCCTCACCCGACCGTCGAAGATAATATGAAAACTTTCCTAATTACAGAAGTTCGCATCTTATCTTATTGTTAAGTAGTAAATAGCTTTTTTGATTTGTTTCGCAAACCGCTCACCGTTGCTATTCTGTTCCAGACGCCTACGGCCGCCCCGTCGCCATGCACCATGTGTCGTAAGCAGAAACTCCAAACCGACCATCCAGCTTAAGAATCTGTCATGGAGAACGACACCTTCTACAGCACCGCCACGACGCAGATCGCAAAACCCAACCAAGAATGGACCCATTACCTGATCGTGGTCCTGAAAGCGACCATCATGGGCTCCATCATCATCGTTTCGATCTTCGGAAACCTGCTCGTCATCGTGTCCGTGATGCGACACCGTAAACTCCGCATCATCACCAACTACTACGTCATCTCCTTGGCGTTCGCCGACATGCTGGTCGCCATGTTCGCGATGACATTCAACTTCAGCGTGCAGATCTTCGACGAGTGGCTGTTCGGTTACTTCATGTGCGACGTGTGGAACTCCTTGGACGTATACTTTTCCACGGTCTCGATCTTGCATCTGTGTTGCATCAGCGTGGACCGCTACATCGCCATCGTGAAGCCGCTCAGGTACGCCCTCAGCATGACGAAGACAGTGGTGGCGTTTATGCTGCTAGTGTCGTGGATAAGTCCGGCCTTCCTCAGCTTTCTCCCCATCTTCATGGGATGGTACGCCACGGAGGAGCACCTCAAGAGCCGGTCTGAGCACCCGGAGATGTGCGAATTCAAAGTGAACAAGCTGTACGCGATCGTGAGCAGCAGCATGTCCTTCTGGATTCCGTGCACCATCATGATCTACATGTACCTGGCCATCTTCCGCGAGGCCAACAAGCAAGAAAAAGACATGTACAATCGGCACGGGGCGGCCCTGCTGCTCCACCAGAACAACACCAACGGCGACATGTTATCGAATTCCGGGGGTTCGTCGAAGACGCTCACCCTCCACGAGATCAACCAAGACCTGCACCACACTCCGACGAAGGAGCGAAACATCAACAAGATGAAGAGGGAACACAAGGCGGCGCGGACCTTGAGCATCATCATGGGCACTTTCATCTTGTGCTGGTTGCCGTTCTTCCTGTGGTACGTCTCGATCTCGTTGTGCACGACGTGCGAGTGTTCGGATACTGTCGTCGGCATCCTGTTCTGGATCGGTTACTTCAACTCGACGTTGAATCCGCTGATTTACGCCTACTTCAACAAGGACTTCAGGGAGGCGTTCAAGAATACGTTGCAGTGCGCTTTTTGTAGTTTGTGCCGCCGTCCGCCGTCCGATTTAGACAGGTTTGACATACGAAGGCCGTCGATAAGGTATGACGATAGAACTAGAAGCATCTATTCGGAAACTTACTTAAAACACATTGATAGGAGGAGGAGTTCGGAGTTTGGATCGAGTCTCTGAGTAGACCTAACTAGCAGCAGACTCACGACCACTAGTTTCTAGTCTGCTGCTAGTCCGATTTTCATGGTGCTGCATAGTTGTTGGGTTAATTGTAAGTCGAGTGCGAGAAACGTGATAGAGTGTGTGATACTTCTTCTAGTTTAGTAGCTACTAATCCTTGTACATAATGCCAAACAGAACGAGTTCTTTTTTATATTTATTTTTTAGTAGTCTCTACGATCTTAAATGGATGTGTAATTGTACGAGTTCTTTTGTAAAGGATATTTTTACCGAATTGAAGACTTAATTTAAGACTGCTGATCATTTTTGCGAAATACTCCAATGAAGAAACAATTTTTCTACATTTAGAATTAATTCATATTCGTAAAAATTAGAAGTAAATGTTTTTCGATGTGTAAACATTTGTGTAAATGTGGAGATTTTTTCAAACTATCAAACCAAATTGTAGCGATATACAATCATAATTTAGACTTTTAAAGAATGTGCAATTAAATTAGATTATTAATATTAGCGAAGATCGACCAATCGTGAATTTGAAGAAGCAATAAATTTTGAAATGAACCTACAGGAAGGTCTACATCGAAGAGAATCACTCTGATTATTTTTTAAGTCGGGTTAAAACGCACATACAAGTATAAATATTTTTCTGTATTGTCTTCCCCTACAGTATCAGTGTTCAAATAAAACTATCGACTTGTTGAGAATCGATGTCAAGAATAAATGTTCCATGTACAAAACAAAAAAAATGAAAAAAACACTTAAAGACGATTTTGTTGATTGAGTGCTTGCATACCAAAAACTTTAGTTTTTTAAGTATTTTGTACATAGTCTCTTTTACTTAAAATATATTTATTGTTTGTTGACATTTTCCAAGTTTAGTTTGTACATTTGTAAAGATGCTTCCGACGTAAACTGACAATTTGCTTTTGACAAACAGGACAGAATTCAATAAAATAACATTAATATTTTCGCTGTGTGTACTTTATTTGCCACCCACGTAATCTCTGCCGATTTCATACCCCGCGGAACTTTTGCCAACTTTTAATACGGTCCAAAGTTATGTATTTTCAAGTTTATTCACGAAAAAAACCCTCTTTGATCGGAGGTGGATCGTATCGCCGTAAGTAACTTACTTTAACGGACCAAGTTCATGACTAATTTCTCGTACGGTTAAAGTTAACGACCAAGTTTAATTTCGTGTGCCGGCTAACATTAGCGTCGGAAAGTCGCATTTCCTACACTAAGAATATTCGAAACAGAATTTGGATTCAACTAAGCCGAGTTCGATCTAGTCTAGATCCACTAGCTTATAGTTTTACAACTAACTTGGGTTTAATGTATTCGCGCAATATGTAACTTAATCCCTTTCCGATTCGAATTTTTTCGAAACAATGCTCAGATGGATTAAACGAATTCAGGGCTTTCCCGCATTTGTTATTAAAAATTAAATCCATCTCTTATTTGCGATACAGAGCATTAATCCACTCCATGATACGAGCTCGCACAGGACGTAATTCTCCCCCGTGATCGATAAAACCAGGTAAGTACAGTTTATTTTATGGAGAAAATCTCAATAGAAATAACCTCTCCGAGTAGGTACGCCTTCGCTCTAAGAAGTCAGCTTAAATGTAACGACGATGCAAGCCGTAAGCGAAAATAACGAAACGAGATTCTCCCGTTTTTAACAAAGTTACTTCGTTCCCTTCCCAGGTGAACTGCACATGTTGCGCGATATTAAATTTTCAATAATTAATTCAGCTGGACTTTTTATTAAAACGCTTGCCTTAAATGCCGTAAATGAGTCCGGGCCGTTTAACCGTTTAAAAATGACACCGAGGCCGTTTTAAGTGTAATTTATTACAACGAGACGGCATCAGACCAATTCCAGAACAATAAGCGGAATGTGAATCGTCATTATGATAAATGGGACGAATTCCTCTCGTTCTTCGTCATTTGTCCAATTAATCGTTCTCATCAAAAAACGAAATTCTTAGTACGTGCGGTAAAAATAACGACGTTTAGCCGAAATCGTCCCCCGAAGGATTATCCCAGGGAGGAATCGAGGGAGGACTTGGCTTCGGCCCAAATAATCCCTGGATTATATAAGGGATGAGACGTATTTAACCTCGAAAATGCGAACGAGGTTGCAAAAAACCTAATCCGGTGTTGTTCCACTTCGATTGCATCTCAACCGAAAAATACGTTACGTTTTGGAATTGCTCATCCTTTTACCGGTGTGACGTTTAAACGCCCGTAAATTGACACTTTGGAGCGTGAGAGCGAACCTTTATCCTTTTCAATCTCGAAAGGCTGACAGTGTAATACTGACGCGGTCCCATATCGAATTTCCCGATGACACTCTGCAATTACTCGAAGCACCGCGATCTTCGGGATTCAAATTTTCAGCTCTGCGGCGAGTAAAGACATACCTTTCTTTAAATTATCCAGCGCCTCTGAGAGCTCCCATCCCATTTTATCGCATATTTTTTTAAAGCCTTCGTAAATCGACACCCTCCACACCTCCGCTATCCTTTCCAATCTTCGAAAAGCTGACAATATAATATTGACACGGTCGCTCTCCAATTTCCTCGACGTGAGTGACACCGTGGTCCAGGCCTTGTTCGAATCCTGCAGGATTACAGCAAAAAAGGATCTCGCGCCTCAGACACGACCGCACAAAGCAATTAGCGACGAAAAAATCCCTGATTGTTGCTATTTATGGTGTTAGCGAAAAACATCAAAGCTCCTTTGAAGAATCACCGCCTGTGGATTTTTTAGCTCTGCCGAGAAATGGAGTCGAGATGTTTCAAACAACAAGGGTGCGATTTGTACGGTTTTGTGGGTTCCATTGCGGCGGAGGCAGAAAATATGGAAATTGTATTTTTATATAAACAAATGGGTGTTGGCGATGGCGAGGCAATAGCGCGTTCGGAGATTTATGTTAAGTCCGGATGTTGAACGATGGGGAATTAAACATTATTTTATAAAATAGCGTATCCTACTTGTTTCGATGCTGAAGCGGGAGAGGTAAACAGCTCATTAAACTAGTTTTAATAAGCAAAGTTTTTTGCGAAATATTCAAGTTAATTAATTGTGAATGCTTGTTACCAGCACTGCTTGATTTTCCTGGAAATTTCCGACATTTTCAACTGTAATTCTAGACTTGATGGAGATCCAAGTCCCTGTACCGTATACAGGACGAATTTAGCAATTCAACACAAACAGTTGATATCTCAAAACGAATTTGGCATAATAGAGCGAAATGAGTTTGATTATGATGAACTTTTGAAAGGAAGTGGTATGATATTATCTGAAGCCATGGTATTTTCTGCCTTTTACTGCAAACCCGACAAGAAGACTTGCGACTTTTAATTCATTACGGTAAAAATCTCTAGTCTGCTCCCCTTAATAAAACTGGGTGTCAGTGCAGCTGCAGCCGCTCTTTCGCCGGATCATTATTGCCCGTCTCACTTGACCTTTCTTCTCGCCCCTCTAGCTCCTCGCACCCCATTTTTCAGCCGCCCTCTAGATTGTTCAAGTTAAATTAAATTTTATTGTTGTCCGTGATTAATTTCGATTTAAATTTGATAATTAAGGTCGTAAATCGCATTAGTTTACCAACAAAGTTAACATGAGGGGTGCTCTCCATCGTGATCGTTCATTTTAATGACTCCTCGCCCTGGGAACGAGCTCTTAAATGTATAACAAATTGCATAAGTTATTTACAAAAGGCACTAGACCTAGTGTATGATTTATGAGCGTAAACTGAACCCTCATTACCGCGTAGTTTTGATAAGACGCTAAAATACTCGGTTCGTGCGTCCGAATATAATCAGAGGGGTGACGTCGGCCCCACCGCCCGAATTGTTCGCTTTTTCCCTCACGATAAATTCCTTCGAATTTATAAAACTTCCAAGCAAATCCTCTTTAAGACTCAAAGCCAGAGCGCGAATTCTGGAGTAATTAAAGCCGATTTAAAACCGATTCCGGTGGAGAAGACTCAATAAATTATGAAAGTGTAGACGCGCCAATCCGTTAATTATAATTAACAACTCCGATACAATAAGTACCGCATTTCTTTCACCCTTTGTGTGCGGGAAGCCGAGAGGACCTATTCTAAAGTCAAATATTTGCTGCTCTCTTTCAATATTGATCAGAACGGAGCGATGATTGGACCGGGGATAAGTAATTTTTCCCAGCTCCTCAAGCTTTTACGCGTCATTCAGAGCTCTGTATTAGTATTTTTGAAATGACTGATATCAGACAAAAATTTAATTTGTTGGACGAATCTCGATTCAACACAACACAAACATCCCTTGATTGCTAATATTCTCCTGAAAGAACGACTTTTTGCGAAAATCATCTCTCGTTTAATAAATATTTGCACTTAAGGTTTTTTTGTATTCTAAAACAATAAAAAAAATATGAGAAATTTCGTTTTATGTTCCGCAATATCAGACTTTCGTTAAACCGATGTTAATAAAGTGAACGAGGGGAAGCTTTACACAGTCATTTTATTAGTGTGCGTTCCATAAATTCAACTCTGTAACGACTATATTATGAACTTTTCTAAATTTTCATCTAACGTCACGTTAAAGAAACAACTTTATCAAAACCGACTCGCATTGCAGGTAGTTTTACACGCGTTCTTACTGGCTTAGTTTCTTGCTCGAAATTAAATCCTGCTGGAAGGAACATCGGGTGGTAACATGAAAATATCAAGGTGTGGTAGAATTCGTTGGAAATCTTATTGCTGAGTTTAATTAAACCACTAGAAATAGAATATAGTCGTCTAGGCTAAACCATATTTCGTGTGAAAAACTGGTTTTAAATGGACGCATTTGTCGTTTGATGCATGGCCGTTAATAATTATGGATGGCTTGGATTATCATCAATAGGCTTTTCAATGGACAATTAACTAATTGGTTCGAACATGAATTTACATTGTGAACTCAACAATTTTGCAAAAATAATATGCTCAAAACGAAATTCTTGTGTGATATTCTTGACCGAATATTGTAATATTTTAGAGATTTTATGCAGAGGCCATAAATTTTAAAGCTGAAAAGAGCTAATTAAAGAGTTAAATTGAATTATGCGACGGCGAAGTAAATATTTCGGACAGTTTGGAATGTTGCCTAACAATCAGTGTAGTAAATTAGTGTACTTACGCTTACCAAATATAATCTTTTCCAAAAATTATGAATAAGTAGGTTACATTTTCTATGTAAAAAAAGGCAATTAATATGTTGACATAATTATAAGTAAGTTGAAGACAAGTTTACGTTGGGAAAATGGAAGAAGTACCGGGCATTATGTCGTGATTTTTATTTAAAAAAAAAAAATACTCAGAATAAGATATATGTCTTGTAGTTAATGTAACATTAATGTCAGTAAAAAACTTAATGGAGATTCTAAAAAGGAAACAATTTAAAATTGTTTTCGTTATTCCTCAAATAAAATGAATCATAAGATAGTGAGTAGGAGATCGTTATGTGAAGACTGACCTAACGATGACTTTTGCCCGATAGTATATGTATAAAAAACAATAATAAACAGTGCATGAATTCGTAATAAAAATGATCATATCAATTAAATTGGTGCAAAAGACAAAAAACGCAAACTTTTGGTAAGTAGGTATTATGTTTGTTGTGACGTCAATGATTAGCTCTTCCATAAAAAATTTTATTCTCGATGTGGCATTCTAAGTAAGTTAATTCCAGTTTTTGCAGCGATTCTCGTGTTATTTAAAAACATGCAAAAAATTATTACGATTCAATAATTTAGGCGTCAAATTTTAAAACACCTGACTCCGTCGTTTTAGCCGCGGGTTATTTTTATCTTAATCCGCACTAATTACGGTTCCGCGGCAAATTAGCCGAAGTACGTCAATACAATCCCACTCCAAATTTTGATCAGACATTGTCTAATTAAAACAAACGACTTATCAAATATTAATGGCC